CAAAAAAAAAAAAGAAAGAAAGAAAGAAAAAGAAAGAAAGAAATGAAAAAGAAAAAAGCAGAACATAAGACAGTTACACATAGCAAGCTTTAACAAGTTCCCCAGAATATGCAGAATATCATGATAGGAAGTTCTCCCTCAAAAGTATGACTGGGGTGGAGGTAGGAGCAGTGAAGTACTATTTGCAGGGGAAAAGAAAAGGTGTGATGTTGGGCAAACAAAACAGAAGCTGTCCACTCTAATTATGGTGTGTCTACACAACAGAATGCTGCTGGCCACCCGTCCTGCCTGTGTAGACCAGGAGCTGCAAACTCAAATGCTTGCAAGGGCTATGAGTGAGTGAATTAGTGTTTTAGTTTCCTATTACTTAGTGGAACAGATGTTCACAAACTCTGACTTAAAACAATATGAATTAATTATTTTACAGTTCTGGAGTTCGGAAGTTTGAAATATGTCTCACTTGGCTGAAATCTGGGGGTTGGCCGAGTTATGCTCCTCCTGTAGACGGGGGGAGAATAGGTCCCCTAGCCTTTTCCAGATGTTCACATTCTTTGGCTTGTGGCTGCATCACTGCAACCTCATCTTCTATCACCACATCTCCCGATTCCCAATTCCCTTTGATCAGTACCCTTGGGACTATATTGGGCCTCCCATATACTCCAGAATAACCCCCCACTTCAAAATCACTAGTTGCAAGGTCCCTTTTGCCATGTAAAGTAACATATTGATAGGTATCGTGAAACCAGGCATCAGGGCTTTGGTATCTCGAGGAGGCCATTATTCTGTCTACCACAGTCTTGAACGTGATGTGAAGCCAAAGGGAGAGGCCCGTGGGGGACTGGAGAGTGAAGGCCTTATCTAAAGGGGGCAGCTGTTACCCACGTCCCTAACTGACCAGTTCATATGGGAGGGTAGACCTAGTAGGCCAGGTCTTCCAAATTTTCATGGAAAATTAGGAATATAAATTTTTAATGTAAATATCTCGATGTTTAGCCTTAGAAAGCATAGAAGGGAAAACAGTAACGACAAAACCCCCACAACTCTGCGGGGACAGACAGAGCCTGTGAGCTGGCCAGATGCTCGGGAGGCAGCTACAGCCTCTGACCTGGAGTTTCCTCATTGGGACAGTAGAGGCATCGCTGACCTATCCTGTGCTGCTCGTCGGGAGAAATGACTGGCCTACGGGAAGCCCAGGCCTCCCAGGCCCCCAGGGCAGGGTTGGCATTTCCCCTCTGTGTACTGCCCATGGTCTTCCCTTTATAATTTCTCCCTCTGACCTCTACCCAAGTCCCCTCAAACTCCACCCTGTCCTTCCTCCAGGACGGAATGTCCCAGGCCACGTGTGGCACACTCTCCCTCTAGGACTCAGTTCATGTGTGTGTAGCTTTTGTCCTTGACCCTAATGGGAAGAGGGCAGTCACCATCAGGGCAGACCTGTCATGGCTGGGACATCAGCTCTGCTAGGCCAATCTCCAGCTGTGCTGTAGGGATGGACGCTGCGTAGTATGTAAACACTCAAGCCCTTGCGGCCCCCCACCACCCCATTATGTCAGCTGGGTCTTCACAGTCTCAATGGTTGTGGGATCAGGAAAACCGAAGCTGCTGTAGGTGTTCTGAGCAGGAAGAGATTTAATACAGGGAATTAGACTTCCAGAGGGCTGGAAGCCATTTTCAGGAAATCTAGAAATGCTGGGATTTATGGGGGAGCCTCCACCAGTGTTCTGCCTATAGCCCGGAACTGGAGGCTTCTTATCTGTAGAAACCCAGCTGTACAGATGCCCACACACCTGCCATGGGTCCTGCATCCCTGCTTTGTGTGCTTGTGCAAGGAGCTGGCTCCCAATCTGAACTGGATTCTAATATCCAGTGTGACCTTGGGCAGATCCCTTTCCCTTTCTGGGTCATAGTCTTCTCAGCTATAAAATGGGGTACAGAAGGAGAAAAGAGGAAGACGGGTAGAAAGGGAACAGAGTTTGTAGCCAACACGCAGGGCTGGTTTTGTCGACAACATCCAGACTTTGGTCATTTTTAGATGGTGTCGGCTTCCCTCAGGAGCTGAGGAAACAAAAATACATTTAGGTTTGGTTTTAAATTCATCTTTACTTTTTGATGCCCAATTCCCTGCAAATCTAGCCAAGTGCATAGTGCTGTGTGACCTTCTTCCATCTTCAGTTCAAATAGAGAGAATGATTATACTCAGTGTACAATAAATAAGACAGTTCACATTTTTTTTTTGAATCTGGCTGATCTGTTCATTATTCTCAGAGCTGGAATTTTCTTCAGCAATTTCCTAGACATATAAGGTTCTAAAATGCTGAGGAAGAGAAGTAGTTTCCCTTCCCCCACCAGCCTAGTGTAAACACACCCCTGCTACACTGACGGGTTATCTCACTCTTTCCCCTTCAAGCTTTCTATTTAAACACCCACAGTGGCTCCAGCCCCAATATCCATTACAGAGGTTCTGATTTTTTTTCTCCCTAATTAAAAAGCTGAATCCAACACATTCCTGAAAAATAGTCAACACTCTGCATCACGATGGAGTCCTAGAATCCCCAAAGACCACTTAGGCCAGCGCTTCCCAAATATGGTTGCACATCAGATGCACATAGAGAATTTTTTTTTAATCCCCAGGCTCTAACCCATACCTAATAATGGCTGAGGGTAGGGCCCAGGTGATGGTTATTCTTCCTTAAAGCTCTCCATGCTATTCGGATGCACAGCTAAATTTGAGAGCCACCTATATAGTCCAGTCCTTATGTGATACTCCCCTCCACCGTCTTCTGCCAAATGGTTTCCTACCCCTCTTTGTCCTCCTCCAGCGATGAAGGGTTCCTTTCCTTTCAAGGCAGCCCTCCTGACCTTAGCCAGCTCTGCTCTGCCAGGAAGTTTTCTCTCTGCTTCACTGTAACTCCCCCTCACTGATCTGGTTTTGCCTTCTAGGATCCCACAAATCCTGTCGGGTTTTGTCCTTCACAGAGGTTACACCTTGTCCCTCGAGTTGTAAAGGGCCAACACCCCAGGTTCTTCTGCTGTTCCTCACAGACACAGCCCCCAGCCTTCCACCGTGGGGGCCACTTCCTGTCTGCCACTGGCCTCTCAGGCCTGCTGCTTTCCAATGCAGTCTGACCACACCAGGATTGATGCTTGACTTGTCATGAACTCACCACCCTCCATCAATAAAGCCTGTCAATGATTGTCCAACTAATCATTGAGTCAATTCACCCCGGAGTGCCTCCGTGCCAAGTGCCCAAGGAGTGTTGACTGTCCATGTGCTATGGAGAAGAGAAAAAGGGCTTTGCAAGAGGGTGACATGATTGCTGGGGACCCTCTCCACAAAGGCATGGATATCAAGGTGACAAAATACAAAACATAGGACCTTAATGAAGGGCTCAGTTCTGCAGCAAGCACTGTGAATGTCCTGAAGAGGACATGGAAATAAGGATTCCATAGTGATGTAGCTTAATGAAAGAACTATGGGAGTTAGGTTCAGCGGGTAAATGTCCTGAGCACTCTAAACACAGTATGTGGAGTCGTGGGGATTTAAAACAGGGAATTGGTGGAAGGGCCAGAGGAAGACCAGGACTGACCTCCAGAACACCTTGGAGGAGACCTGCTAACCTCATTACTATCTGAGGCTCCCTGGGGTTATTTGAGCAAGATACACTCCTGATTCAACCCAGGGGTCAAAGAGCTGAAGCCACAGCTGCCACTCCAGAAACCCAGGGAAAAGACAGGAATTCTCCTGCAGAAAATCCTTACCTTTCTAACATTCTGTGAGTGATGCCCTGAAGGGGCAGGACAATACCCTGCCTGCTCCCGATCCAGCAGTACTGATTGGCAGCCCCTAGTCCACATCCAGAACTCTGAGGAGGTGGCTGAGAAACACAGCTGTTAGCTTTCTGACCTCTCCACCCAGAAGGTGGGTGTGTGGCTGTGGAGCGAGAGGCGCTCAGGTTGCCCATCTTAGCATCCTTTACAGCACTAAGATGGAGAGCAGCAGGCTTCAGAAACTTCACCCCTCCAGCAGAACTATATGCCACCTAGCAGAGGATGATGTCATCCGAAACAAGTGATAGGACAAAAGTTCGTGATACAGTGCTAAGATTGTTTTAAGCATTAGAATTCACTATATGATTTGATTTTTATTAAAATAATTGCTTTTAAAGATGCAGAGGGAGAAAGACTGGCAAGATGAACCCACCCAACCTTAAGAATGGCTACCTTTGGGTGAGAGGATTACAGGTGATTTCTTTCTTCTTTCATCCTTTTCTGTGTTTCCCAAGTTTTCTATAACCGTGTGTGTGTGTGTGTGTGTGTGTGTGTGTGTGTGGTCTTGGGACAAAGAAAATCGACGTTTAAAAAATGCGCAAATATAAAATCTTAAAGGAACCGGGGAAAGGGTAAAGAAAATGGAAGTCGCAGTCGCAGTCAGAAATCGGTGAACCCAGGGGGGCGGGGGGAAACAGGGAAGAGGCGAGGCAGAGGATTGTTAGGGAGAGGCTCGGGGTCGCAATCTAGCCAAGTGCACAGTGCTGGGTGACCTGG